CTGCTAAATCTAACACGCGCAAAACGAACCTGCGCACAATCCAAAATATTCAAGCACAGGCGCTCAGGTTATGCCTTGGTTTACCCCGCTGCGCATCAACAGTTGAAACAATTGCATTGCACAGAACTACTCGATAACGACGCACATCACCATTGAAACGATGCGTACATACCTCAGGCAACATGCTAGGAATCCTTCCCACCACTTGTCAACCCTCGCTACTGAGAGGCCCCGCACGAAGTTTAGTGCAATTGTCTGTGCAATTCGTGCGTCGTTTAACTCAGGTTTTACGCCTGCTGAGAAACTGGTGTATCCTCCGTGGTGCCTGACATTTCCGCAAGTACGCATTTCAATTCCAGGAACACAGAAAAAATCCAATTTGCCTTCATAAGCCCTAAAACAATTGAGCTTGAACCTTCTGCACGAAATGTACAATAACCACGTGCACATATACACTGATGGCTCAACCACAGCGTCTGGTTCTGGCAGTGCGGTGGTGATTCCAGCTAGAGGAATCACTCTGCGAATCAAGCTGTCACACGCCACTGCGTCTACGGCGGCAGAACTTGCGGCTTTGCATGGCGCCCTAGAGTACATCAAATCTTAGAGACCGAGTAAATGGGCTGTGTTTTCAGACTCGAAACCGGCCCCACAGAGCATGCAGTCAGTCCTTCGACGAGGTTGCCATGAACAGTTAACTTACGAAGTTGTCAAGCTTCTTCACCATGTCACAGAAACAGGCCACGAGGTCAAGTTTCAGTGGCTTCCTGGCCATTGTGGGATCAGTGGCAGTTATTCTGCAGACAACGCCGCTCGCACATCGCACCAAGAAGAGCACATCCTTCCAATTCCTTTGTTAAGAACTGACGCTGCAAAGCAACTTCGTCACCTGGCCGTGGTCTGTGTCTGCAGGAGTGGAACACCCCAAGCATAAGACATACGAGACTCTACCAAATAAACACTCGACTGGAACTTCGACCTCCATCCGGACTTCCTCGACGTGAAGCTTCGCTTCTTTGTCGTCTTTGGTTGGGGGTTGCCTTCACAAAAACATATAGAACCCTCATCGGGTTGACCGACAATGCGGAATGCGACGTCTGCTGCGCCAAAGAAGACATGGACCATCTGATATGACATTGCCCTCGATTTGGCTCCGAAAGACAGAAGCTTTCGGACGCATTGCCGAAATCGGAAAATCGGCCACTCTCTATGCAGATGCTACTGGAACACCGTCCTCGCCTTTCATTGGCTCAGAAAGTAGTCAAAGCTGTCTTGTGCTTTTTGAGGGCTACAGGCCTACGTGACAAATTTTAACTTTTGCGTAGTGCCACCGCTGGATATGCGCCAGCCGATAGACTGACAATCCTTTTTTTCTCTCTCTCTCTTTCTCTTCTCTTTCCCCTCTCGCTCATCCTTTTGTCCCCTTCCCATTCCCCCAGCGTAGGGGAGATAACCGGGCATGTGCCTGGTTAACCTCCCTGCCTTCTCTCTTGTTGTCCATCCCCCCCTCATAATTACATCATGGTTTTGAAACGTTAAACCTAACGATATTGTGAATAATAATAATAATAATAATAATAATAATAATAATAATAATAATAATAATAATAATAATAATAATAATAATAATAATAATAATAATAATAATAATAATAATAATATTATTATTATTATTATTATATACATATTAAAAGGTTACTGACAAACTAACTGTTTATGACCAGCTTGAGCAATTTACGGACCTAGTAATAATCAGTATACGTTAGTTCACTCCGTAGTATACACCTAAACATCGTAAATATTCCCACAGGTTTTCCCCTGAACTTATAGACGAGAGCACGCCAATCTCACCCAGGCCCCTTCGTGCGTAATACCCTCGCTCCCAGAGACGCCATAATTTGTTTGGAACTGCTTAGGCGTGCCTCGCCAGCATGGCAAGCAGTGCCTCTGGGACTTCAAACTGTGAAAAAAAAAAAAAACGCCTGTTCACGCTGCGCTAGCTCATAAGAAGTCATCTAGGTACCACGGCGCCGTCTTCAAATCCAAAAACAACCAGAGCAAGAGTAAGATATTACTAAGCACTGTCTGTGAAGATCCCGACACGATGCGGCAATTGTGCCGGTGTGGTGTATCTTGATTCCACAGATTTCCATCCACAACGAAAAGAATGGCAGCGTATTCACGGAGTGAATGATGGAGAGTGCGGCGAAGCATCCGTCCGTCCTCTCGTTCTTGCTTCCGTCCATTCATGCGTGCGTCTGTGTGGCCGCCCATGCGTCCTTTCGCCCGTTCGTGCGTGCGTCTTTTCGTGCTTCCGCACGTCCTTCTGTGCGTTCGTCCCTGCAATCATCCATGCATCCGCTCCTGCGTCCGTCCATGCGTCCATGCGTCCGTGCAGCCATCTGTGCATCCGTCCATGCATCTGTCTGTTTGTCCATTTGTCCGCCTATTACACTCCAAGTACTACCATCTCGAATCTTTTAATCATGTATTCCCCATATAAAAGCACCGCCATCCAGTTGACATTCCAAGGACTGAACGAGAGGAGACACACGCACACTTTTTTACGGCTTGCGCTTCGTGTCTACTTCCCACTTTTATCCACCTCGAGTTCTTGGTATATACTAGTTCACTGTATTCATGGCACTACGGCCCAACGCTCGCTAAACCTTTTTAAAACCAAGGAAGTTACGCCCAGCGAATAACGTAGCAACACTTTCTAGTCAGATAGTGCTCAATGTACATGCCAGTGGCTGCTAATGGGAAATGAGAGACAGAAGAATTTGGCTTTTACTTTCTTACGGCTTGCGCTTCGTATCTACTTTCCACCTTTAACCAACTCGAATTTATCGTATATACAAGTTAATTGTATTCATGGCACTGTGGCTCAACGCTTGCTAAACCTTTCTAAAACTAAGGAAGTTACACCCAGTGAGTATGACGTAGCAGCAACTCTTTCTTGTCAAATAGTGCTCAATGTACATGCTTATGGCTGCTAAGGGGGAATGCGAAAGAGGAGAATTTAGCTTTTAGTTAACGCGCATGCTGCAAATTTTTCATTGTTCAACAACGCACAGAAGAAATCTCCTACCGGCACCACCTTGCAGGTCAAAATGTAAGACTGGTTACACACTACGATGACTACTACTACTAAAAGGGACAAATGGGTGCCGCTTCAGGAACTTTGCCCCTAAAATAAAGAAAGCTGATGCAGACGGTGAGAAGCAGCACCCGCTACAAAATTAAGCATTCATTATTTTAGCACACACCTTTCCACAAAGACGGGGCCACCCGTCTGATGCAGCGAAGCAACATTCACTTAGAAACACAATTATGTAGTATGCTTCATCGTGATTGCCTGAAAACGCTTGTACCTTCCGCTGGACTGCCGACAGCATATGAAACGGAGTGTACACGTACATCTTGCTGAGGCACGTTGCCGGGCTAGTTGGTTGATATTCATCATTTTCACTGGTATAGCGCACCACGACAAGGACACACACAAAGGAGAGATGCACACCCACAGCGCTACGTGTGTGTGTGCATCTCTCCTTTGTGTGTGTCTTTGTCATGGTGCGCTATACCAGTGAAAACGACGTACATCTTACTCGGTGCATTGTCAGTTCGAAAAGCACATGTCCGGGGGCAACCTGACACAAAGTGTCGGGGTGGCTCATAGCATCCATCATAGTAAAATAGCTCTGCGACACACCTGTTTCGCCTCAATGTAACCCCGTGTTCTCTGCTAATACTCACCCGCTAAAAATCGTGGCTGGCTGAGAGGAACTGGGCACTAAATCTGGACATCATGGTAGGCAGTCCAGGCTTACAGCTAAGTAGACAATATAGAATCCTTTCGTCCGACAAATCAAATGCATCTGAATGACGTTTAGGCGACGTGACAGCACCTCGCTTCGACAAGTCGAAGCAAAGAATAACAAAAAGTAACTGTTAGTTCTCAGGCGTCTTTCGTTCTCAGAGCTCTAAAAATGAAATTTGCTCACACGGAACTTCTGGAAAAGTGTCCGCTTGTGCAAAGATGACCACAATAATCTAATCTGAGCTATCAGAGCATGAGCTGGACCGCCCTCCAGCTTGAACTTGAGCTTGAGCTGGAATACTTAAGCTACTCCAGTGGACATTTTCATTCACTTTATACACTCCAAAAATATCGAGTAAAAAGGGTGTCTTTTTGTCCCATAACGATAATCGTCATCAGGCTTGCGTGCGCTTCCTTTCTTGAAAACTCGGCGCTGGCCGCTTTCCTATCGAGAATGCAATGTAACCTTGATAATGGGCATGTCGATCGTCACCATAATGTACCGGGCGCGGGGCGATAGCGCAAGGATGGAACGCAATATACATTACGATTATTGTTGTGGGACGAAAGGACACCCTTTTTACTCACTCTTTTTTTAGAGTGTAGAGAAACGGCTCACTGCAAAAAAATTAGACAATGCACTCAGAAAAGAGGCACAATGCATAACAGCTCTGTTTAAATGCCAACTAACCCAATCCCACACTATACTTCTTAGGGTGCGGGCTTGTGTTATATTGAACCTCACAGCATTACCTAAACTGGAGCTGGCAGCAAAGACGGTGACTATGAAACACTCTAATCACCAGCTTGCTTGACGTAACACATGATTCTTACAAGAGTTAGAAAGTGGTCAAGTAACTACCGTCGCTGGTATTGCTCGGCCTAGTTCTTCTCTCTGCAGCCAAGTTATACGTGATTATTTTTTTATAAAACACCAGGAAAAATAGACTTTCTGCAAAACACAAAAACGACGTTTCCAGCACAAATGATTCCCATGGCCGCTCATGAGTAATAAAGATTTCAAAATGAAGGCCACAGTTCTCCTAAGGTTAGCCACAAGATGGCTGCCCACATCTAGTGCAGTACCGGAGCGCAACGCCAGTGAGACTTCAGAGAGCATTTTATTCAGAGTTATTAACCACAACTGTGTTTAAAAATTTGCGTGCTCCTCTCTTTGCAGGTAAAAGTGATATCGCATTATGCTACCTGCCGCCGTTATTGTTCTCGTCATCGCTGGTGTGGCAAGGACCGGACTCTCTGCACGAAAGACCAGGGATTCGTACGAAAGCATTCAGAGACGCATACGGCAGTTAGCGGAGGACTTCAATGCTCTTCAGGGTAACCTCGTAATATTTTTTTACTTTTGAAAGCCATAAGAACCACAAATATATAGATAGTTTAGGATGAAACGGTTTGCGCGGGTGCACTGGCTGTGTTTTGCAGCCTGCTCGTCTCTAAAGCTCGTTATAGAAATATACTGAATTATTTGTAACAGGTTAGTCTCCCAAAAGAAACTCTCCTTTATGCTCTAAAAGTGTTTCTTTATGAGTGCTTTATTTCGCGATTGCCTTCTTGCGTTAAGATATCAGTAGTGCTTAATATAATGTATTGATCGCACCAATAGGGCTGAGATCACCTCAAACAACAATATTTTTATTCCAATAAGGCTACCCTCGACAACAAACTAGAAATTTAACGACTAAAAATAAACAATGGCATCCTGTGAATGATTCTACGAGCACCTGCCATGTTACCAGATATTACAGAACAAATGTGGTGCTATAGCTGCCTAACACGCAACAACAAGCGAACTAGGAGACTAAAAATGAAGACACTGATTATTGTCTATTCTCCTTCAGATGCCTTCGAGCCTCGACACTGCGCAGACCTGCTTCGCAACGGCCAACACAAAAGCGGAGTTTACACCGTGTTTCACAAGGCTGCTGGCTCTTCGGGACAGAATGTATACTGCGACATGGACACTGATGGAGGAGGGTGGACATTAAGATTCCATAGCTTTCTACGATAAATTCTCGCTTTTCATTGTGTTGGTTAGGCTTGAGAAAGAGCGGGATTCTGCTAGCATTTTGGAGAAAAAGTTACATAGCTCTATGTGTCAAGCGGGATACAAGCTCCTTATATTGAAATTGAACTTGCATAAGCAGGCAAAAACCTGTTAATGGACTTCTCATAAACAGCGAACGCTAACTGGACGGAAATTTTGTCGCAATGACTTTTCATAAAATATACTTTATTATAGCCGCTGCCTACCAGCGTGTCACGAATCAAAAGCCTTCTTTGGGGGGGGGGCGAAGCTCTCTATGCCATGGAGGGTGCGTCCGCGATGTTTGTAGTAATGTAGTAGTAGTAGTAGTAGTAGTAATAGTAGTAGTAGTAGTCGTAGTAGTAGCAGTAGTAGTAGTAGTAGTAGTAGTAGGTAGCCATGTCCACGGCCTGACTTCCACACACGCCCCTTTTTCAATTGAGAAGGAAACCCGCGAACGGTAATCATAAATAAAAAAAATGACAGCCCATCTACGGGGTGAATGATGGAGAGGGGAGCGAAGCAAGCTACGCGCCGAACAACGTCTGCGCACACGGGCACACGAGCCAGGGGAAACTTTCACCTCATTTATAAAAGATGTCATCGGTCTCTGCCGGCGCATCGATGCTCCATGAGCGAGAGTGCCACGATACAGCACAACATGAATGGCGTCGACGATGACGTTTTCCAGATGCTACTCGCGAAGTCTCCTATCACTGTGGCCAAAGTTGTGACTTTGTGTCAGAGCTATGATGAATTGAAAAGGAAACGAGCTTAGACGCAACGTTCATTCCAGACAATCCAACCAGTGACCGCACTCGCCATCATGGCTGACCAGAGATACCTTCTCGCACAAATGAAGGACTTCGCGTGAGAGGAAGTGGCTCGACCGCTTTTTCTACTGCCTTTTGTTCAACGCCAGGAGCTCTCGCAAAAGCAGCCGCTGCGACACCTGCTACCCATGGCGCCCATTCTGCGACAAGTGGTCCAGGAGCGTATTTCCGAGGCTATACTGGAGCCCTCTCAGCAGCACCCCATCACCGCACCTATTACTTACGCTGAGGCACTAAAACGGCAGCAGCTACGCCAGCCCCGCCATTTTAGGAACTACTGCATACCTCAACACCGACTCAGCCGTCCACCGCATGGACTCCTCCTATTTCTAGCCCAGCCTCAACTCACCCATACACCGCATGGGCTGCTCCTCTGGCCGCAAACGCCTGTAGAACTTGAAATAACCGGCCAATCTATTTCGTATGCGATGGTTCTGGCCCATTGGGCCGATTATGCTGTTGTAGCGTGCCGGTATACACAGACTCCCAGACACGAAGCAGGTTCATGGACCTTCCTTCATCTCGTCTGGGAAATTCAGATCCTCAGTGAAGTGCGTCTTATCGGGAATATTCTCTAACTGTGTCTGGTCACTCACTTTCACCCCGTCGGCGCTTCCTGTCACCCATGCGTCGTCAGGCAACTCCTGAACACAAAGGTAACTAACCACCACAGTTCAGGAGGCAAAAACTGCGTTGTCGAAATACTCAAGTTTTCGAACATTGGCGTCGAATACTGTTGATTTTTGTAGAAGGTACTCATCCATATGCTGTTGATAATACCGTTGCTGCTCTTTCCACGATATACGCCAAACTTTGCTGCAAGCTCCGAAAAGTGGCTATGCCTCTTGATATGATTTCCTTGCTAACAGCGAATGGGGAACCTGATCGGCCAGTAGCCGCCTGTACTGCTGTGCTGATCATCGCGAAGGACCCCTACACGTTGTTCTTTCATCATGCTCACAAGACAAAATACTTGAACAGGATTTTTATCTCGTAACTACGCCGTTATTGATTGTTCAAGATCTGATGTTAGACTCTTCCCGTTTGCGATCAACTAACCGACCATACTCAGCCCACCGCACACAAACTCATCGTAAAAGAAGGCACTCCAATTCTTCCGAAAATATCTGTGTTGCTCCCCGTGGATTATGACGGCATTACGAACGAAGCTGCATTCTTGGAACCATCAAGCCTCCTTTTTACTCGAAAATCAGTTCTTCTGCCTTCTTCAACCCTCTCCATTTCTGAAGGAAACAGTGCTCTCTGCCTCATTACTCTCTTCGGTATCGCGTTGAACTGTTTCAAGGTGAACCTCTTGGACACGTACATGTTATTGACAAAGAAAAAAATTCTCACCATGTTGCCATGATGTGCCGGGGATTACGATGCCATCGGTGCCCTCAACCGTTCCAATTTACTACCTTCGAGCTTTTAAATTCATTGATCACCGACGGACTATCGCCATTTGAACGCTCTGAGCATGTCAAGCTGCTCTACCAGTTCTGTGAATCCTTTGACGTGGCTCAACCTGTCCTTGGCTGAACTTACAGTTTTTTTTCACTACATCGACACAGCTTCCCACGCGCCAGTAAGACAATGACCATACCGTGCTTCCGCTGCCGAACGTGAGGTTATCACCGAAACGGTTGACGATATGCTCAAGCGTGAGATTATCCGACCTTCCCAAAGTCAATGGGAATCACCTGTAGTTCTTGTTAAAAAGGATGATTCAATTCGCTTCTGCGTAGATTACAGGCGCTTAAATAAGATTATTCGCAAAGACGTATACTTTTTGCCCATAATTGATGGCGCCCGTGATTGCTTACACGGTGCCAAGTTTTTTTATCGTTAGATTTGCGTTCGGGGTGTATGCATGTGCCCTTAGCAGATGCCGATCGTCCAAAAACAGCTTTCATGACACCGGATGGGCTATATGAGTTGAATTTCATGCCCTTCGGCCTCCGCAATGCGCCGGCCGCATTCGAGCGCATGATGAACTCGGTTGCGGAGTTTGAATTGGAACATATGCCTATGCTACCTTGACGATACCGTCACCTTTGCACCAAATTTTTCAAGACACCTTGTACGCCTGAAACAAGTTCTGACGTGTCTCAAGAATGCTCAGCTCCAACTGAACTTCAAGAATTGCCACTTTGCTGCTCGGAAGCTCACCGTTTTCGGTCACGTCGTACCAAAAGATTGCGTTTTTCCCGACCCGGCTGTTGCTGAATTCCCCAAACCGACGACTGTAAAACAATTACGCAGCTTCTTAGCATTATGCTCCTACTTTGGCGGTTTGTGCACAACTTTGCCTCCACATTGGCCCTTCTGACCCAAATTTTAAGCAGCGTCAACGACGTCTTGACACGGTTACCAACTGTGATCACGGATTTGCCACTCTTCGCCGTCTCCTGACATCACTGCCTATATTGCAACACTATAATCTCAAGGCTGCAACAGAGATCCATACAGACGCCATTGGTGTCGCTCTCAGCGCAGTTCTCGGTCAATGCAGGCCTGGATCCACTGAGTGTGTCATTGTCTACGCCAACAAAACGCTTACCAGCGCTGAGGTAAACTACAGTGTTGCCGAAAAAGAGTGCTTGACGATTGTTTGGGTACTTGTCAAGTTTCACCCATACTTATATGGCCGCACGTTCACTGTAGTTGCAGATTATCTTGCCTTATGAGAGCTGTCGTCGCTGAAGAATCCATCCACCGCATCCAGGAGCAGCTCCACTACAGCCGCTTGCGTGCACCCACCACCCATTTGACAGCGTAGTAATTGACCTATATGGACCGCTGCCATTGTCCACGGCAGGTAACCGGTGGGCTATTGTTGCTGTGGATAACCTGACACGGTACGCCGAAACTTCTGCTCTTCCTACAGCGAGCACTTGGGATGTCGCAGCTTTCATCCTCAATTATTTTGTGCTACATCATGACCCTCTTTGCAAATATCTCAGTGATCGGGCAGTGTGTTTCTGTCCGACGCAATTCAAACGCTTCTCCACCAGTGCCATATTGCACACCGGTTGAGTACCGCTTACCACTCTGAGACGAATGGCTTGACTGAGCGCTTGAATCGGACCCTGGATGACATAATCGTGACATATGTTGCATCTGACCAAACGAACTGGGATCTGGTACTTCAGTTTGTAACCTACGCATAGAACACCGCTATATAAGTCACTGCAGGTTTTTCCCCATTCTTCCTTCTATACGAACGTCAACCATCGTACACAATCGACACTTTGCTGCCATACGCACCAGATGCATCTGAGTGCAAGACCTTGTCCGAAGCCTCCCGTCACGCTGAAGAATGCCGCAACTAGCGACTGACCATCAACGACCAACGAGCAACGCTGGCAAGCAACGCAGAAAGAGGCCCTCAATGAAGAGCACCCTCCTACCGCGAAGTTCACACCTGGAACACTTGTATGGCTGTATCTACCACCACGTGCACCTGGTTTTTTTACCAAGCTGATTTTGAATTACCATGGTCTATACCACGTGGTAGAGCGCCCATCAGCCGCCAATTCCGCCATTGAACCGCTTACGCCGCTCGGTGGCCATCGTTAGCCATGGACACGATGTTGTTCGCGTGGACCGCTTGAAGCCGTACTTCGATCCACTCGTTCTCACTTATTAGATCGCTAGGATGGCTTCATTTTTTCGGCAGGGGCAATTATAATGAAGGAATGATGACAACACAAGGGTATAACAAGCATATTCACAGAAAAAGGCACCACGAGATCGGCGCTCGAGCACCACTTTTTTCTTGTCCTGTCGCTATCACCAGTCTTCTGCCTGTCCATTACACTGGCCCCATAAACCTTGTTACACTTGTAGTATGATAAATCATAAAAACACAGCATATGTATGGAGTAGGTGATGATGTATAGGGCCAAGCTTCCGTCTTTCCGTCCGTACTTCCGGCCGTCCGTTCATTCCTGCTTTGGTTCGTCCATGCATCCGTCCGTCCATCCATCCATGTGTCCATCCATTCATGCATTCATCTGTCCATCCACCCGTCCATCCATGCGTCCATCTGTGCGTCCTTCCGTCTATGCAACCGTCCCTGCGTTCATACACCCACTCATCCGTGCGTCCATCCGTCCATCCACGCGTCTGTCCATTCGTGCATCTATCCATGCATCCATTCATTCATCCGTCCTGTTGTGCGCCTATCCGTGCACCCGTTCGTTCGTGCGTCCCTTCTGCTTTCGTTCCTGCGTACGTGCGTCTGTGCGTCAAACAGACAGACAGACAGACAGACGTGATTAGAAGATGATTAATGGTTTGCCGATAAAGAGTACGATACGTGCATTGCAGCGGCGACTCGCACAACTGGGTTCCGTCTTTAAATGCAAGCCACCACCGCTCTGCCCATATTATATATTGT